AAGTCATTAAAAAAAAAACTTGTGTTTTAATTTATTTTTTTATGCTTTTTCCTTGTTTCTCTCTTTTTTTTTTTTGTTTTGACCTATAAAAAGAATAGTATTTTATTTTCCTTTTTTACACTTATAAAATTTTTTATTTATTGCATTTTTTTTGTGTAATATTACCATACAAAATATTACTATGTATTGTTTGGTAACATTACATACATGTACCTACAAAAAAATAAACTTTCAATATAAGATCTTAATGTATAAATCTATGTAGGTTGCAGCCCTTGGAAAATTTTCACTTTTTCTTTCATAATTATACGTTCATAGGCAATTTTAACTACCAATAAGCTTTTAAATAATTCTATTCATTCAAAAAATATAATGTAAATTCTCATATATCAAAAATAATGTTTCGAAGTTTGATAGACGGAGTAGGGCACTTGCAAATATTATAAATTCATTGTGCATTCAAAATAAAATTACAGTTTTATATATTTTTACGTGATAATTTTTAAATTTTTACCTAAAAATAAAATATATTTTTGATATAATTCGAATTATTTAACTTGGAACCCTATCGCACCAATAGTATTGAAATAAAAAATGGTTGTTGCAATGTTGAATTATTTGATTTAATGTTAGAAATAATATTTTTATATTAAAATTTCATTCTTCTCATTATTTTAATTGCTTTGATGTTCGCAAAATCAATTAATATTTGATCAATTGTGCAATATTGCTTAATTTTTACACTTTTTGTAGGCACTTGCTTAATTTTAATAATTATAATTCAAATAGACAAAAAATCAAGACTAAAACTTTCATCCTTAACACATTTTTTTTTCTTAGTAATTGCACTTAATTACTTTAAGATACACCCTGTTTTGTATTTATTATATCAGTAAGTAGGGGGGGCTAGGTACGTATATAAGTACTTAATGTTCTAAAGAAATAATGAAAAGAATTTTAAAATAGGGTAAATTGAATTCAAGAAGATTAAAAAAAAAAAACCAATTGTAGCTATAATTTACTTTTCAACATGATCTGTACAATTAAAATAGAATAAAAATATTAAAGTGCATTTTTACAATAGTTTCTCGTACATATTCATCTACAAAATATCTAAACGGCAAAATAACAGTATAATTTATAAAAAAAGAAATATATAGAAGTACATCTATATATACCTATGTACCCAAACAAATTGCTAAAGTAGACATAACGTTTATTTATAGATACTTAGCTTGTTTCTAATTAAGATTGAAGGTAATGATCTAAAATAGAAATTAATTACAAATTGAAAATATTGAAAATCGGATTAAGTATTCTAATTTGAAATTTTTCCACATATACTTATTAAATACTATTAAGTGGTGAACAAATTGATATATACATATACGCACTTATATGTACAATACAAAAGCATATAAGAATCAATCGTTTTGCTGTGCAATTATTAACTGCATAAACAGTATTGGTTAGCAATTTTTGCAACATTTAAATTATATGATTTTAATTAAATGATTTTTATATCAAAACATTTTATCATCATTTTCTTTTAAAATTTTCTTCTGCATATTGTATAGGTACATTATATTTTGTAATGTGCATCGGATAACACATTTGAAATATCAAAATTATGACATGCGTGTTACATATTTGTGGTAAAAGAAAGTACCTACTCGTATGTAATTCTGAATTGGTATATGTATATGGAATGAAAACTGAATAAAAAAAAGGTCTCATTCAAAAGTTTTTTAATATACTTAAACATAATTAAATTTTATCTTTGAATTTTTACTACCCATTGCATGTGGAATGCACATAAGCATTGCATTATTGTAAGATTGTCATTTGAGAAATATTAAAGTAGGAACCTACTAGGTACTAGATATACAGTTAATTGTATAAAGTGTTTTGTTAGTAAATTTAAAACTTGCGTTTGTAATTTAATTAAGGCTAAGCTTACATTCTAGTTAATAAGATTTATAATTTTAAATAAATATACATAATATGTTCCTACCTATAGAGAGTAATCAACAATTTTATCGAGCCTTATAAATAAATTTGTACTACTTACTTGTAAATTTGTACTTAATGATAAGTGTATGCATTTATGATGTAAGTTTATTTATACACATGTGTATTTATAAACATATGTACATACATATCTATTCATGGTAATTTTTCCTTCCTGATATGTGAACTTCTTCATGTACACAAAGGATACAAAACGGTAGTCAATCGGATTTAAATAACGATTAAAAGTTGTTGAAAACTAAAAAAAAGATATTGCATGCCTCATTTTCAAGGATAAAGGATAAGCCTATTAATTTATGCTAACTTACCATTAATAACCACCGAACATTCGCATTATTTGATTTTTGTCCAAATGTGTATTCTACATCCTTAATTATGAAAATCTCAAACTATAAATTTTTTTTATTTTATTTAATAATTGGTTCTTCTACTGTTTTACGTCAACACTCAGCAGAATTTCAGGAAAAGTCAGACCCACTAATTTCTTTCATGAATTTTTCTATAAATATACCGTTAACTAGAAAATAAAATTAATAGTTTTTCTAATATTTTTGGCGCTTTTTTCTATGCCGCTTTGTTTATCAGATTTTTCGTATGAACTTCTTAAATATTTAATAAAACTTTGTAAAAAACCCGCATGTCAAATTTCAGTGTTGCCTACGAAGATTTTGAAAACTCCAGTGCATTTCACACTAGACATAAAATTCATAAACAACAAATCGAATATATTTTCTTTTAATAATTTAGATCTTGTTTAATGCCATATATCGGGGGTTTTCGTTTTTTGAAATAGTGAGCGTTCAGAATTAAAAATTTGTATTAAATAAGAAATGATTGAAGAGGGTCTATCGTGTTCGTTTTTAAAGTCAGGGCTCTCAAATTGAAAAGTTTTATTATTTGCGCCGATAAAATCTGCGTCTGATCGAATTCAAATTCTGAGCTGAAAACCGAAAATGCTAATTATTGGTCTCAATTTAAGAGCGATTGGAAAATTTTTCATTAAGCTTTTTTTTACAAGATTTTATAACATTTTTAAATAATTTAATGAAATTTTTGCATAATTATGTTTCAACACACACTTTGTCTTCAATTTTATGTTATAATTCAAACAATTACTAATCATATAAAAATCGAAGCAATATTTACAACATTAGAATAAAAAAAACTCTGGTTGCAATATAATTAAATTTTAATATTTAATATTCTCTGTTCCAAGAATACTCATACTCTTTTCTCTCTTCTTTAAAACATTGTTTTGCTCTCATTACAAAATTTAGTATTAAAGTACTCAACCGTGTTGCATATTCATTCATTCATTAAAAAATAACTCCATAATACACAAAGCAATACAGAACTATACCACATCGTTCATAAATCCTCCATTCTTGCTAATATTTTGCTTGAAATAAACCATTATATTTTCCTGCTTTTAATTTTACATTCAAAATAACAAAAAACATTATTATAAACATAAGGAAAGAAAATATTCTATATTATCTATGTATGTATTTTTTTTTCATGTAGCGTATATAAACAAAACACATATTTTTACAAATATAGGAAACAGAAGAACTATGATATAGTATTTGTATTACATATTCAGCAGTTGAGAAATTAATTTAGAAATCTGTTTATTTTTATTTTTAAATTTCATATGCCACACCAACACATAATGAAAAGAAATAATGATTTGTAAAAGAGTAATTACGTCAAAACTAATAGATTTGAAAAACAATTGCAAATTTAAAATTATATAAAATGTTGATTTATTTTATCCAACATATATTAATTATTTGCATTATTTACTTTAATTTTAATGCAACTATGAAATTTTTTATAATTTAAGAGCTACGCAAGTCAATTTGTATTAACCACAAACGGTAACATTGTACTGGATATTATTCTAATTAAACAATTTTGCATTGCCTCGTCATTAGAACAGGTTTACACGAAAATTAATCAATCTTAATCTTAAAGGCTTAATACATGCTACACATCCATTAAAAGGACATGACACATTTAGTTTAATCTTCGTCCACTTGGGTTTGGAATATCGTATCGCATACAATGCGGTTGCCGCGTCAAAACTCAAGAGTACTATGTATGTGCAATTTAAGTTTTGACAACCACTTTGCAGCGTACCACCTTAATTTAAGATGCATCAAACCTAGTTTAAACAGTATACATATTTCCAACATAAATTTTGAAATGATAAATTTCAAAAATTCATACGAGCGATCTTTGAATATCACTGTTATAAATAAAAAATTACGATTAATTTTCTCATTATTCAGCAAAAAAAGAAAACAAGTTTTACAAACACATAAAAATTTTATATTATACTTTGTATTTGTGTTGAATTTTCGCTTATTTGTATTGTTTACATTCTCTTTTTTATGCAAAGCAGAAAAAGAGAAAATCGTCTATTTTGTATTACATTGGTATTTTATTTGTTGCTTATAAAATTAATTGAAATTTATTTTAAAAACACTTAAGGATGTGACAATATAATAAAATTTAACTGTTAAAATTTATATTTCATTGCATCGAATACCGGCATACATAATTATTAGGTATTATTTACAATATACATATATTGAAATTGAAAACCTTCATAAATAGAAATTTTAGATAACTTTGATCATTTTTTCTAATTAGAGTGAAAAAACTTGAGAGAATCAAAATCTTAACTCATTCTTATTAGCTTTATTTTCCCGACGGATTTTGCATCGATATCACAACCTCAAATAATATAGATGATATGAAATGAAATAAAATATGAAATGAATTCAAGTTCCCGCAAGTGAAATGAATTATATGTCAAATATTGATGCAAAAGTCGTCGTGTAAGCACAACAGCTATTAACAAATTTTCGTCAACAGTTCTTTTCCTTTTTATAAACAAATATTATAACAAATAGACTCAAATTGTATCACTTTTGCTACAGCAATATTGAAATTGTTAATGTGTTAGTTTGAGAATTATATTTTTCATTTCATTTTATTCTTTTATTGAATTAAGAATGGAGTACAAAATTTTACGACTCCATTGTAATACATATACAAAAGATTACATATAACATCTTAATATGTATAGTGTGTAAAATATATGTGTGTGTTTACAAATACTACATAAAAAAAGTAAACAATATATGCAACGTCCATTAAATAAACTGCTGAAAACCAAAAATAAAAAAAATATATGAATTGACTTTCTCTAAATGAATAAAAAATTTTTTCAAACACCAGTTGAGTTTTGAGAGCCTTTGATTTCGGTTTATTTTTCATCGTCGCTGTCGCTGTCACTGTCGGTATAAAGTGTGTCGCATTCTTTAAAGAAAATAAAAGAAAGAAAATGACATTTTTTTTTTTGTTTTATTTTAATTTCTAATGTGTGCGTGTGTTTATGACTTTATTTTTGACGTTTTATATTAATGTTGAATAAAAAGTTGAAATTTTTTTGGTAAAATTACAACATTATTGGAAATGAATAAAAATTTAATTTAAATGAAAAAAAAAACAAGAATGTAATTAAAAATTTTGAAAAATAAATTAAATATTTTATGCAATTATTTAAGAATTTGTCAACGTAAAAATTGTAAGAGTTCGAAATAATTTTGAAGTTAATATCAAAAATTTATTGTTCAATACTTTTTTTTTCTTTTTACTTTTAAGGAATTGATGCGGCTTCGATTAATTTTTTTTTTGATTATATTTTAGCGTTTACCGGGGGTAAAAAATATAATAAATAAATAAGTTGCGCAACATATTCAACATAAAAAAAATAATAATTTCAAGTGTGGTGAGAATAAAGGAGTTTTATTAATATTAAAAAATAATTTATATGCGACACAATATTTTCACTTGAATAAATTTATAATTTAAAAATTTAATAATTATAAATAAAAAAGAAAGAAATCTGTCGGTACCTGATGTTCAATTATTTGGATATTGAATTTTTGAAATATCAACTTGGATAAAAGACTATCAGCAGCAGTATATAAGTTCTCTAAAGAAAAGAAAAAAATTTTTTGCTTGAAATTATTTGAATTTTTATAATTTTCATAAATTGAAATCAATTAATAAAAGTATATGATTACAAAAATTAGTGCCTCTAAAAATTTGAATAAAAAAATTAAATACATAAAAATCTTAAAAAAGAAGAATAAGTGCTTATAGATTACACCTGAATTTACGGGAAGAATTTGGAAAGGTGTTTGAAAAAGTTTAAATATAAATGATATAGAAATTAGTGAAGTACCATTATTAAAAAATGTCCATTTAATGAAATTGAATTTATTACACGTAATTATATAATATAAAAAATTTACATTTCATTTAAGTATATTTTATATACAAGAACTTTTTTGTAGGTTGAAGATTTTTGAGAAGCTACTGTCTACCAGAATACATTATTACATATTTCAGTTACACTCTTTGACTAGGATTTCAAAGAGTTTATTTTTTTTTCTTAAATATCTAAAGATATTTTTCTATGAAAAAAAATTAAAGAAAATTAAAAAAAAAATTAATTTGGAAATTGTATTTAAGGAATATACTACAATTTTTTTTCTTTACAATTTTTGGCGTAAATCAACTGAGTAAGTTCCATTTGAATTATTCTAAAATATAAAATTTAACTTAAGTTTCTGCATATAATATGAACGGTGTTCAAATCATTTAAATTTAAGAAATCAAATTAAAATTTGAAAAAATTTGAATTATTATTATAAACTTTTTTGTTAATATTTATTTATTTAACTAATTATTATTATTTTTACTGAAATTATAGTTTACCAATATTATTAGGTAAATATTATTGTACCCACTTATATTGTACCTACATTCATTACTATATAAACTAGCTAAGTATATCTAAGTATACCTACACTATGTAGTATGTTTAGTTTCTTATTCTTTAGCAATTTAATATGATTTAAGAAAATTAAAATAAAATATAAATATAGTTATATAGGCAGTTCTATCTACATAAATAACAACATAAATAATATAAAATATTTTTAAAGAAAATAAGAAAGAAAAAAAGAAAATAATATTTTAAACCAGTTGAGCTTGTTTATATACAAAAACAACGTAAAAAAAAAACTTAAGAGAAAACATAAATTCCAATAAGTTATGTTTTTTTTAAAATACAATAAAACAGTACTGAAAAAATAAAACAGAAAATAATAAAATAAAATTTTTAATGGAATTTCACCTTAAAGGTGAATCTCATCAATTTTACATTTACCTATTACATATCAAAACTACTTAACTTAAATACACAAAGTTATAAGTATATAATTGTATAAAATTAATAGATAAAATAGGTATTTAACCGTTAAATTGTGTTAAGTCTTAAGTCTCTAACTAACATAATGCTGTTGCTTGGCTATAATAGTATTTTCTTACATTATTTATAAGTTATTGCAAATAAATGCAAAAATAAATCATCTTTACTGTCCAATAAACTATAAGATGTTTGAAAATTTAAATAAAATATTTTTAAATACTTTTCAATTCTAATGAATAAATTCATTATTACTTAAGCATAAATTATACGATTTCGTTATTGAAATTATATTTAAAAATTATATTTGAAAAAAGCCAAATAATCATGAAGTTTTAAGAAAAATTAAGAATTTATCAAGAATATTTAAGAATTTAAGAGAAGAATTAGCAATGTAATGTAATAATTCAATATTATTTAGATTTAACTTTCAAAATTTCCAAAATTGCAAAAGATTACAATTAACTATTTGATTGATTTCTCTCAAAAAATTTTTTTTAATATTATGTTTTAATTACAAAACTTTTATAATTTCTAATAAGATTCTTATTACTCATTAATTTTAATTATAATTACACAATATAAAAATAATACAATGCTTGGAATAAGAGCGTTTGAAGGGTAGGGAATTTGAGTTTTCATTTTTGTGTTATTATTTTTACACAGTCATTTGTTTTGGGAGAAAATTTCTTGTTAATAAAATAAAATTTTGTTAATTATTGAATACATATTGTTTTCCCTACCTACATAATTATATAACATTTGTAAATAATTTTTATATTGAAAGTAATAAATTCAAATGAATTTTGAATTTTTAATGAAATTTTTCTAAAAATACTTTTAAAGTAATGTTAAAAGTTTATTATGTTAAAGGGAAGAATTTAGAAAAGGGTAGAACTTTATAATTTTATTATTAATTATATAATGAATTTTGTTCATAATTTTTCTTAGAATATCTGTTATTAGAATATTATTTGAATAACGTTGCTTTATTATATTAAATAACTAGTTATACAAATCATAATGAAAATAATTATTTTAAATTCTTTGAATGGATCAATAATTATAATAAAAGTAGATATATGGAAATTATTAAACAATATTTTTAAAATTTCAAAAATTAATAAATTGTAGAATGTGGGTTGTTCCCAAGAATTTACGTAAACCACTTACACTGTAAATTACTAAAAATTTTATGTTTAAAAATATTTTTATATAATACTTAGCATATAAAAAGAAACAATACCTACCTTAATTGCCATATAAAATAAGAAATTACAATTTCTTACTTACCTTTTTTTACAAGTAACTAACATACATAAGTACTTAAACATTTAAAAGAAATTATAGTTAAAAGGGGAAATTGAGATTTTATTTTGTGGTCATAAAAGTTTAATTTATTGAAATGACCCATACAGAAAACTTAAGTATTACATAAAAACTTAAAGAAGATTACATTTCTTTCTTAATTTTTGCTTTTCTTTTCCTATATGTATATATATATTTACATAATTCCTTTTGATTTTCATCCCCCCATTTCATAGCGAAAAATCGAATAAAAAACTAACACAAATTCAAAACATACTATATTGTAATCTTCAAAATGTTTATAACTATTTGGGAAAGAAATGGTAAAATATATATATGTAAATGAATTCATTGTTATATTAACAAACATACTTACATTATTTAAATAAAAGTAGAAGAATTTGCCCGGTAGTATCATTATTGTCTATCTTTAAGAAATATAACTATGTAAGATGTAAGTAAGTGAGGGAAAATTATTTGAATAGAAGATATGAGCAATTATGTTTTTTTTTTTGCTATTTTTGCTTCTTTTAATGAAAGATGAACTTAAATATTTGTAAGAAACAAGTCAAGCAATACCAATTTTTATTTAAAATGGATTTTAGAAAATAATCTTGCAAGATTAAGTAATTTTCGTTTCAATATAAAAAGATACAGGGTAATTACTTATTGTACTTTCTTTTAAGAAAAATTTATAATTATTCATTATAATTAATTATTTATATACTAATAAGTATGAAAAGTAATAATAATTTAATTTTGGAATTATTTTGCTTAATTATTTTGCTAAAGCATTCGTTTTATTAGCCAGCCCCATCTTATATAGTTTATTCAGAAAACATATTTAGAAATTTTCTAAACTAATATTTATTAAAATTCATTTACTTGCCTATTATTTAAAGAACTTTATGCGGCAGTTAATTTAAATATTTTTTATTAAAAATGCTCTTAAATAGCATTTGTGTTCTGGAGTTTAGAAAATGTGTTTATATTTTAATTAGAAACTATAATTGAGAGCTAGAATTTCCAATTTTTTAATTACTGAGCTTAAATATTATATTTTTACAACAAAATTAAAATTGTATTAGAAATTAAACGTAATAATTAATTTAATTTTAAATATTTATTTATTTATTCGATGATTTTAATTTAAAATATTTTTAAACTTCATTAAGTAATTGCATTTTATTAAATCAGTTTTAATTATGATTAACTAACAAAATATTTAAGTATCGTGCAAATATGCTGATTAATTATTCATTTTTCTTTTTCATGCAAGATGTTCAAATCAATTTAATATTTGATAATATATGAAAATAGTAAAAGCAAATTAATAAAATTAAGTAATAAATATAGTGTTAAAATATTAGAAATTGCATTTTATAAAGTCATTGAACCCATTGAATTTTTAAATGATTACCTCTTTTTTTTTCATTTAAGTGTACATTTTATACACTTAAGTATATATTTAATTACTTGATTATTATTATTATTATTTGTTATTATTTTTAAATACCAGAAACAGTTTTTTTATACTGTTTTTTATATATTTTGTAAGTTTGTTAACCAGTTTCTTCAGTATATAAAATAATGTAAATACAATTCATAAATATTTTTTTTTTAATTACACTTTTCTTAAATACTTATACTTATTTAAAAAAAAATTATTTTTTTTTTTTATATCCATTATGTTCATTGAAAATACATAAGTAATTAAAAACAAAAAATAACTGAAAAAAAGAAAAAAAAAATTAGTCAAGACGGTTGATTATTACTTCAAAAACTCTCTTAAGTGTAAATTTAATGAGTGCTAAACGCTATATACATAATAAATGTATGTACATACTTATTTGATTTAAAAAAAAACAAAAGAAAAAAAGAAATGAAATACGAGTACAAGACATTTTTATAAATGTTTTTTTTTTTTCAAAAACCAAATAAAAAAGTTCATTTTTTTTTATGTTAAAAATTTATGATATCCGTGATAACTTGAATATTGCATAAATGTGTATATATACATATATACCTGTAGTAGCATAAATATGTTGATCTATTCAATTCAATTTCTAAGCATGATATTTAATTATGGGGTATTCTGTTAATGTGATTCCGGAATTTTGTAATAGATGTCGTTATTATATTACTATTCAAATTTTTTTTTTACAAAACAAACAGATCTTTGAATTTCACATATTAAGTACTTAAAGAATTCTGTGTCGAAATATTTTTAATATGGCTAGATTTTAAATAGAGTAACAATAGATTTATATTATAAGCAGTACTTGGTTTTTGCAATTGTGAGCAATTATACAAGTGTACACTGTTTGCAATTGTATGTGAATACTTTCTAGTAAGCAACCCCTCAGCAAGGACAAATAATATTTATTAAACAAACAGTTTTCTTAATATTTATTAAGAAAACAAATTAAGTATACATGATTTTGTAGTTATTTTAGCTTACATGAATATTTAAGTAAAGTGTAAACAGATTTGAAGTAATTTTAGAAAATACCGTTTAATTCATAATAGGTTGAGCTTCTCTCTAGTAATTTCAACAGAGGAGATTTTGACAATGGAAGATCACAGGCTGGTTTGCAATTCAAAAACAGACTGGATTCAAATATTTGGTTTAAGTTTTTTAAAGATGAAACATTTTTATTTTGAAAATCATTACAATTTTGTTCGACGATAAAATTATTTGCCAAAAAAACAGAAATTCTTTCAATCATCCTTGAATTGTAAATTATCCGCGAGATGGCTCACAATTTCAAATAGCCACGGATTTTCAAATAATCATTTCATTGGTAAAATAATGAACAAATTTATTAATATTTATCCTATACACGGTTGTAATAACTTTTATAAAATGCAATTTTATAACATTCTCTTGTCTTTTTCTTTTTTCTCATCTGAAATATAATTTTTGATTGATTGACATGGTAGAATGAGTTGACTATTTATTTTTATTTATAACTAATATATTGTATTTTTTATTTCTCCATT